AAATTTATCAGAAAACAATATCGACAAAACCTTTACTTCTTTATAATAAAAAAGGACTACATAACAAAAATATAATAATTATTTAAAATCCGTTAAGAAAGAATAATATTTTTATATAGCCAATTAAAAACGGTAATATTTGAGAGCGTTACATTATGCATAACATGTTTATGCTTAGTTTAGATTTTGTTGTTACAATGCATCTTTGTAAATTATTTATCATTGGTATTTAAGCATCCTTGCTGTATGTTTCAACATGTTTATCAAATAGTGCTGTGGTTGCTTCCCAACAAAATACAAGGTTCTGTGCCAATCCAATTTAAATATTTTAAGATTTAATCTTTAATACAGAATGCGAGTCTACTGTTGTGTCGGTATTAAAAATAAGTTAATATTTAAGAATTAAGTCTTAATCATTCGGGAGTATATTTCTGAAAAAGGTTAGAGATAATTAAAAAAAAAATTAGGTAAAAAATAAACCTCGAGTGGGAAGATAAATACATAAATTTAAATATTTGTTTGAAAAGTTTCTCCAAATCTCTTGGAATTAATTGTTTAGTAAAACAAACTGACACTAAACAAACTATCACTTATACAGGAGTTTCAGTTCATTTATGTGGTTACCTAGGAACATACCAACAGGGCTTTTATCGTAAGTAATATCATAAGGGCATTTAATTTTTCCGAAAAAAAATCGAAAAAACACGTTGCTAAGTAATATTTTAACAAAAAGCATGAGTGCTGGTGGCAACAAAAATCCGCACGAATGCATTTTGTTAAAAAATATTACTTAGCATTGTGTTTTTTCGATTTTTTTCACAGGAAAAATTAAATGCCCGAATGGTATTTGACAAGACTATTTCATGAGTAACAGTAAACAATTAAAATATAAATTGCAATTTTTGTTGACAACAGCTGTCAAGTTTTGCCGCGGGTAAACTCGAATAAACTGCGGACAGGTTCTGTCATACAGTTTTTCCACCTAGAAACCATTTGTAATTCAAAATTGCGCGTTTGTGATTGGTCGAAATTAAGACGAGGGAAATAGTCGATTTTATCCACCTCTTAAGACGCATTTTTGAAGAATCTTATTGGTCGAAATTTCTAATATCCGTAGTTTTGATTTATAAAATTATAATTTTGATATTTTTTATTGCATTAAAATTTATTTTTCGTCCGGATTTGTTAATGGCATATATTTTGTATTTACTAGGATAATTTTTTTAAACAATAAATTACTACAACTTAATAAAAATGAAACATATTAAACCCATTAAATATGTTGTAAATAAATATTTAACATTTATAGAATTTAATTACTAACAAGAACATTTAATTAATTTAATTTAAATATAATATTTATACAAAATGTATATCTATAACCATTTAAATCAAAAAAGTTATGTTAGAATTGGTCGGTTCATCAAGTAACAAAATTAATATTTTTTTTGGAGCTGTTAATCGTTCTTTTAATTAAATAATTTAAAATTTTGTTGAAAAAATATAGAAATTTTTTGTTTTAATAACAAATCACATTCACGAAGAACTTTTTAAAATGTGCTATATGTTTGGCTGAAATATTGCCGTTAAATTAATTTTTTTAATGTTCTGTTCTTAATAAAACAGTAGGTACCTGGACAAAATTTTGTCTTCTGTCACTTGTTATTTGTAGTCATTTAAAACTTTTAAACGTATTCATTTAATTATGAAAAACCACAGTTTTTTTGCGGTTTTTTTCACTTTTTACACTAAATTAAATATCACGCGTGATTTTATTCTGGTGTTATAATAAAAAATAAATTATATTAAGATAAAAAAATTCTAAATGATTTTATTCTAATGACAGTAATACAACGTTAGCTGGAGCGAAAATAACACGTGATTTTACTGTGACTTTTCAGTGCTGACATTCGTGTATTCGCTACTGAAATCACACGTAAAGAACGTGATTTTACTGTGACATTAATATAAAACGATCTGTACTATCTCGGACCCTCATTGTTTTTAGAATTTTTTTAAATACACAGAAGAAATAAAACAGTAACCATTTATGTGCAGGACACTAATTCAATCAATATAAAATATCCACGCCAACGTCAATGTCAATGTGAATGTAATATTTTAAATTATACAATTCCTAATAAAACCTTACGGGTTACTTTGACAATAGCAATGGTTAGTTTTGTTACAAACAATAGTTGGTAATATTCTGCACGTTAAATATTATTTCAAATAGTTTATTCAGCTCATTAATGGTTACTGTTTATTTTCTTCGTGTTGATAACAAACCCTGTAGACAATCTAAAAACATGTTCGTTGGTAATCAGCTTTTAGAGACGTTTTCAATGATGTATTAAATCACCTTTCTTCCCATTTAATTACGGGGTGGCCAATGGAAAGTTTCCACCATGGTTTCCTCAGGTGGTACCTAAAAAAAACAAAAAAACACTTGAAATCGTCGATTTTTTATTTAAGGAGCAAATTTTATTTAGTTTCAAGTTAAAACCTTTAACACCTAAAATTCACCAAAGCGGGGATAATATTTAGGGGATCTATTAAGTTGCCTGCAAGATCTCCTGACCTTTCCTCTCTATAAAATCTACTTTTTAAAAATGAATTAGTAAAATTGTCCCCTGAATTCAAAAATGTGTCAAATGTTATAAAAGTAGAACAGTTTTTGAGATATAATCAACTTTCCATATAATATGGAATTGACCATATTTTAAAAACTGCTCTACTTTTATAATTGACGGATTCAGGGGACAATTTCACATAAGAATTGGCTGTTAAATGTTGGGGATTCCGTGGTATCCCATTGTTAATCATGGTATAAGTGAAAAAGCAGCCACTAATAACTGTAATAGTCATTTTGGACTAATTCATTTTTAGAGAGTACAGTTTAAAAACACACCAAGCTTCTCTTCAAATTCTGCAAGAACGGATAACTATAGTGTCTAAGGATAACTGCCCATATATTGCAGAATGTTAGAAAAGAGGTAAATAATTGATTTTATTATTGCATGAATGTTAACGAAGGACCTAATTAATACTAATATTAATTAACTTAACTTGAGGTTAAAGTTAAGTAGTAAAAGATATATAAATAAATTGTCCTCCTAAAATCAACTTGTACCAGCGTTTCAATTTTTTTACGTAACATCTAAGAAATTCAAGGTGAGAACTTTCCAAAGGCCTTTCCTTTAAATTATTATAATAATAATTATATTAATATTATTAAGTTTAGTTGAAGCTAAACTTTTAATAATATCCACGATTGTTAGATTGTAGCAGCATACATGAAGGGATCAATGCAAGAAGTGCCTAAGTCACATTTTCAATTAAATTGTTATTTTATTGGGCACATATTTCTGCCACTTTAAAAATACCACCTGAAACCTTACGTGAAACACTCTTAGATGAAGCCACAATGTAAATTTAATTGAAAATGTTACTTAGGCACTTCTTGCATTGACCCCTTTCTATGTATATAACCTCAATTGGGCCAACAGACTAAGAAAACCCTCGCAGGGTTGGGGGGTCTCATTTTTATCCTCCTTGAAGTTCGCAATATTTGTGACCAATTTTTCAAAAGTTTGCGACTTGTAACTCAATTAAATAAATGAAATTATTAATCAAACAATTTCAATTTGGTATTGTACATGGTACTAAGACTTGTAGTAGCATGGGTTTTGTATCTTTAATAAGCAAAATATCCTTACCAGGAGCGAATCTACAGGGGTTGTTCGAACAGGGGATTAGAAAAACCAAAATTTGACATTTATTTGTATATGATATATGCATATGTATATGTTACGGCTAATGTGCAAACTTGGATAGTTTATAAACTAGCTGGATAGTTTATAAACTAGCCAAACTGTCAGCTATTTTAATTGAAAATGTATTTTCAACTAAATTAGCGGCTAGTTTACAAAATAACCAAGGATCTTGGCTAATTTACTTGAAATTATTAGGAAAACTAAAATAGCTGGATAGTTTGTATACTATCCAATTCAATTTGGCTAATATGAAAACCAAAATTTCTAGTAAGACAAAATAGCCAAGCTTTAGCTAGTTTGTAAACTAACCAACTAATTCTCTGGCTATTGCCCATTTTAGTTTTTTGCTCAATGGGGCGGGGGGGCCCAATGGGGCGGGGTCGGTTGGGTTTAGTTGTTGATTTTGGGTTGGTTTGGGTTTTTTTCTCTCATTTTTGACCATTTGACCAATGGGGCGGGGTCGGTAGGGTTGTGTTGTTGAGTTTTCTAACAAGGAACCGTAAAAATTTTGCCTATGATACATTTTAAAAACGTTAAAATGCACAAAACAAATCCGGTTAAGCCGGCAAAACGAAAAACAATGCTGTAACCTCACTTTTTTAATAAATTAGCCAGAGAATTGAAAGAAATTTTGTTTTTCATATTAGCCAAATTGAATTGGATAGTATACAAACTATCCAGCTATTTTAGTTTTCCTAATAATTTTAAGTAAATTAGCCAAGATCCTTGGTTATTTTGTAAAATAGCCGCTAATTTAGTTGAAAATACATTTTCAATTAAAATAGCTGACAGTTTGGCTAGTTTATAAACTATCCAGCTAGTTTATAAACTATCCAAGTTTGCACATTAGCCGTAACATATACAACTATTATAATTAAGTGTTTATCCAGAGAAAGTGCACTAATTTTTGTGGACCCCTCCTTTAAAAGGAGTCCTTTTAAAAATTTTGAATCTGCCCTTGATCCTCTCTATACAGGGTGTTTCCTAAGTACGGTCTGTATGTTTAAGACAATGTTTAAGACACAATTGCTAACGATATTAAAACATATGTCCTTAAATGCTTTTCTACTGAGAAACAGAGTGTTATTTTTTTTAAATTATTTAAATATTTCTCACTTAAATTGTAAAAATCCAACAAAATTTGGGCATTGTTTTTTGTCGATGTACGCCTAACCAAGAGTATGAAAAAATGGTGAATTAAATTTTGTATTTTTTTTTGTTTAGATCTGCATCTTAAGAGCAATCCAACTGCTAATGCCGAAGGATTGGAAAATCATGAAAATAATTATATATTTTCTTCTACTTATGGGACAAGATATTGTTTTGCTACATTGTTAATAATATTGATTAATTTTTATATTTAATTGTATTTGTTTCTTGTTTAAGAATGTACAAAACATTTTTTTACGAAGGATCCTGTAAATAAATTTAAAACCGTGCAATAAATTATTATATATTTGCCAAATAATTTACATTTCATAAAAGTTGTTTTAATCTGATAAAAAAATAAAAGCTTTTCGAATACTTGCTAAAAGTATTATGGAACAAAAATATGGTAGACGTATTATAGATGTAAAAATAATAGTAGATAATAGAAAGCCATAGAAAATCCTAAATGTAAACATACCATTCCTGCTGATAAAGTTTCAGTAATCAGAAGTATCATTATTTTGATTTTTGAAACTAAATGCCTTTGATATGTATTTTTGTGTAAAAGGTCATGATGTACATTGTACTTAACTTTGTGTATAAAAGCATAAAATGTAAATTATTGTAAAATAGCTGAATTTTTATGTAATATTATCATCGTATTTTTAGTCTACAATTTATTAATAGATAAAAATACGATTGTACTTTTGTATGTTATGTTTACTACTAGATATTAAATTAGAAAACATTCCAGATATGTTGATTTTAATAATAAGTTTAATTAAGACTGAAACTTAATTTTTAAATCCTAAAAAATGTGTGTACCTAAGTAAGTAAAATAAAAAAATATAAGTTTAAGGGTTTTTTTCATATCCTTTCATATTTTTTCCTAAAATATTCCTAGTATTTAATATTTTCATTACTTTTTAATAGAGTGTTCTGCAGCTGAAATTTTGCGGCCGACTAATTATCAGGCTTTTCGTAGCTGAACGCATGTAAACACCCTCATTAAGTGAACGCGATGCCTTTGTAAAATATCATAACTGGGGGCCATCCAAAAGGTTAATAGGCAGCAACTACGAACCTCTTTAACAGCTCCCCAAAGGGAATCTGCAAAACTCACTTCCTTCTTGAGCTTTTATAATTTTCACCTGATGTGTTATCTTTGCATATATGAAACCAAAAGCGATTCATATATTTTTTGTAGTTTTAAAGAGTTTTAAGAAATTTCTTTTAATTTTAAAACAGTTTTAGGATTTCAATGTTTTTAAAAATAATAATAATTAAAAAAAATAATACCCTGTGTGTTTTAGCTCTTAATATTAACATCAAGATATTTTTTTATACACGTAAATTTAACTTTTTATTCTACAGATTTGTTCAAAAAAGCATTTTTGCTAAGAATTAAACATTCTACAAAGGTGCCTTTTGCAGCGTAACTGTAACTTACATTGGTGAGCCCCTACTTAAACTTAATGGGCACTTTTAAAGATCTTTTAATTCTTAGAAAAATGCCTTTTTTAAGGGAACTATAGCATAAAATGCCGTTGAGTAATAAAAATTTGAAAAAACAAATTCAAATTTACGTGTATTTTTATTTCGTTTCTTAATACTGGCTGTAGCCTAAAAAATAAATAAAAATTACCTTAGTTTATTAAGAATTAATATTATTTATTAATTTTTAAAGTTTCCTTTTGACCCACCCTGTAACCCAGATTTGCATCTAGACAAAAAATTGAAGCAACGTGCACGTTTTCACCCAAGAAAATTTTTATCGCATCTCAATATATGTATATTTTGATGAAAGATTCTTTACACAAATCCGTTTAGGCTGGTTTTTAAACTTTATTTACTAAAGATAACAAAATAGTGGCGGAGCCTAGAATCTGGTATCAAATAATTCCGGGTCTGAACAAGAAACAATGGCCAAAACATATAGCATGTTTGTGCATTTATGTATAGTATACATCTGCTTCCCAACATAAAGACATTATAGCCGTATCAACTGCAGAGAACGAGAAATTATTATTATTATTATTATTACTCTTCTTCATATAGGGAAATGAATCCGAACATCGGGGACATTGAATAAAATGACTTAAAGCCAGGAAAATTTAATATTAAGTTAAATTAGGTTATAAGTTAAGTTATTGTTGTTTTTTTTATAACAAATTTTTATTTTGTTCTTGCTTGAAAATAAAACATATTTTAAATTTTAAATTTACGTGGGTATCAATATACAACAAACAAAAATTTATGGGTGCGCTTCTGAAACTAATGATGGTGATATTTGCACCAGAAGCGATAAATACCTGGTCCCTATTTGGGCAACGGCAAAGCTTTAGATAAAACCGCCGTCGAACAGATTATAGGTAATATTGACACTAGTACGAATAAAATTATTAAAGAAATATGTTTTTTATATTAAATTTATTTCATTTTTTTGGGTTTGTTATCAATCTTTGCGAATGATATTCATAATTTACCTTATAGAACCTAACACAAAAAAATGATTGATTTAAAAAAAAAAATTATTATAAGTTTTTTAAATATATTTAAAAATTATATTTATTTATCAAGTTATATTGCTTAATATTTTTAATATTAAAAAGTAATATTAAAAATATGTAAAAGCATGCTATATATATATATATATATATATATATATATATATATATATATATATATATATATATATATATAATGGACAAATGTAGAGAAACTTTTAAATTATCCTCATATTTTCTTTAATAAACGAATTAAATGAGCGCAACCCTCACTGTATACATAATATTATGAATAGACATCCTGTATAAAAAAATTATTTACCTGCGACTGTTACTCTTATTTTTTTCGACATTCTTTCATTTTTTGCTGGACAGAAGTAGAGAAACTGTTTTTATATATCAAATATTTCATATGAATTCAGTTATTAATCGATCTTCGAAGAAGTATTTTGCAAAGTATTAATACATAAAATGCCTCGAGGAGTTTATTTGTCAGAAGATTTAAAAAAGAAAATTATTGAAGCTTACGAAAGTGGAATAAAGCAAGTGGTCATTTCAAGTAACTTTTATCTGAATAAAAGTGTAATTTCTAAAACAATTAAAAACTATAGAGCTCGCCATTCTTTAAAATCCATTAAAAAACCGGGAAGAGCACGAAAAACTACTAGGCGTATGGACAAAAGATTCAAAAGGTTGGCCCAGCGTAATCCTACCTGGACAAGTAATGAAATTTTAAAGAATATTCCTGAAGCAACGGTTAGTTATAAAACTGTACAACGAAGATTACGAAAGTTTGGACTATTTAGCAGAAGATCAGCTAAGAAACCATTAATTAGTGTAAAGAACCAGAGAGCCCGACTCGTATTTGCCAGAACCCATTTAAACTGGACTTACAATGATTGGAAAAAAGGACTGTTTACGGACGAATCAAAGTTTAACTTGTTTGGATCTGATGGTCGGGCTTGGGTACATCGTCCTGTGGGTCAGAGATTTAACCCAGCATTCACTAAACCAACGGTTAAGCATGGAGGTGGATCTGTTATGGTGTGGGGCTGCTTTTCAGGATATGGTATGGGCCCACTACACGTAATTGAAGGTATAATGGATCGTTTTGTGTATCTGGATATACTAAAAAATGTTATGTTGCCATTTGCTGAGGAAAATTTACCATTAACATGGATCTTCCAACAGGATAATGATCCGAAGCACAAGGCCGGGATCGTAAATGAATGGTTTACCAGAGAAAAAATAAAGGTTATGGAGTTTCCACCTCAAAGTCCGGATTTAAAACCCATTGAGAACTTCTGGGAGGAACTGTACAGGCAAGTTCACAAAAAAGAAATTCATAACAAGCAAGAATTGATCGAAAGACTAAAAGAATGCTGGAGAAATATGGAAAATCAAACAATTCAAAAATTATTAGGATCAATGCCTAAAAGATGCCAGGAAGTAATACAACAATGGGTTTTCTACACATTATTAATTGTTTTAATTATATTCAACTTATAATAATTTTATAGTTATTTTTAAGAAAGTTTCTCTACATTTGTCCACTTAAAAAAAATAAAAATGTATAAAACTTGTATGGTGTACTTATTTAAACTGTTTAATTAACAGACATAACAACCTAAATTTATGTATATCAAATATTATATAAATAATTTTATTCACTTTATAATTAAAACATATTATAAATTTTTAAAAAGTTTCTCTATATTTGTCCATTAGTGTATATATATATATATAGTGAGAATAACTACGTACTGTAATTCCTAATAAGGTGGCATAAGAATCTTTTTTTATTTTATTATTTTTATTAATCCTATTAGGGTATTTTAATGAAAAAAACCTTACATGCAAAAAAAATTATTAATTGCAAAAAAATTACTTGCTATCAGTGGCGGCTGGTGGATTTTGGGCACACCCATATTTCAGTTATTACTAATAATAATAATAATAATAATAATAACTTATTAGACATGGGACCCACATCAGTTTATATATAGTTTAATGACATTATATAGGCAAACAAAAGTGCTAAAATATTTAATTCACTGAAGTTTATCGACAAATTTCAAATTATATTATACAAATTCAAGAATTACAGGTTTTATACCATTTTAAATTTTTTATTTCTTGTACAAAATTTTTAAAAAATTCTGCGCAAGCAGAATTTAAATTGAAGTTTGGGAAAATAAAGTTAGTTTTTAAGTGTGCCCCCCAGCCTCCTGCCCCCTAAATTAAGATAATTTAAATTAAAGTGGTACAATATTTAATTCACTGCAGTTTATCGAAAAATTTCAAATTTTATTAAAAAAATTCTATGTGCACAATATCTTATTCTCAAAATTAGACGTAAGTCAAAGAATCCACTATTGCTCATTTTTTGGACTAAACTGGAAAATAAAGACAATTTTCGAAAAATTGGCATATAATCGTAGTAAGCCTCGATATTCACAAAATCTCAAAAATATTCCGAGGGATTACCTTACTTATATTATAGGGATGGGTATTACGACTATCAAATTCAACTACCTCATGAATGGGAATAACGGAAATTTCGGAAAAAATACATCTTTTCATTTTCGTAGTATAATGCTATGTGCTATTCCCAAAATTAGACATAAGAGTCAAAGAATCAGCTATTCAGAATTTTCAAAGATTTTCAAAACCAATTAAGTAATTTTTCAATAACGAGCTTTGAAATA